TGCAGCAGGTTGTTTTCATGGTGCTCCTTTATTTTTCCACAGCCTGCTCCCAATTGTGGATAATTTATTGGCAAGTGTCCTGAACAGACTTCTTCTTAATCTGGTAAGTCGGAAAAATAAAACATTCTGGGAAGGAGGAATGAGTCTGAAAAGATGTGGTGCAGCTCCCTGTGGCATCACTGGTGCTTGGAGCAGGAGCAGAGCCACTGTCCCAGGGCTGCTGCATCCACCCAGTACCTTGGGATTAGTGGGAGACACATTCCATGTCTCCATCAGCTTGGGAGAAACTTCTCCTTCCTTCCCAATGTGAGGTCTGCCCAAATGCTGAGAGTTCCTAATGATGTCCTGGACTGTGCTATGGACTCATGGAATCTCTCTTCCTCCTGAAGGCCCCAGAGTATTTCTAGCCATCCCTCACAAGCTCCTGGGTCTCCCCACTTCTCTGAGGAAGATGCCTAGAGCCAGTCCCAGAGCAGGGCTACATTCCAGTTGCCCAGTGCTCCCATGCCCAGGGAAAGCCTGGCAGAGCCAAGCAGGGCTGGGTGTCCTTCTCTGGCTCTGAATGTGGATTCTCACCGACCTTCCCCAGCTCTTGCAGCTCTGCCCAGTGCTCAGCATTGCCCTGTGACTCGTCAGTGACCAGCTGGGACTCCTGCACTGTGAGCACACAGTGGGTCCCACTCCCTGTCCTGCCTTGTGCCGTGTGTCACCCACTCCAGCTGAGGGATGACTGGGACACCTTCCCCTCCTCTGCTCCACCCTGGCCCAGATCTGTCAGGAGCAGGGGTCTGCAGGAGCTCCCCCGGAGCCCACTTGAAAGCCAGGCTCTCCTGGATGAAAAGGAACTTCAGGTAGGGGAGGGGGATTTGCAGCCGAGTCCAACAAGGAATCGCTGATCCCTTCCTCTCCCCCAGCACTGGTGCCCTGGATTTGCTGGGCAGCATCCACCATGTCCAGCCTTCCCCTGGTAACTCGCCAGTTCTGAGGTGGACTTGAATGTGAGTCCTGCAACTTCTCCTTCCATCTGTGCTTGGGAGATTTCCCTCTGCTTCAGCAAGGTCTCCTTCAGCCGTGTGCAGCTGGCCAGGGGGCTGTGGCAGCTGGCAGAGATCCTGGCTTCATGCCTTGTTCTCACCTCTGTCATGGGACAGCACGGCAGGGTTTAGGTTTCACAAACCTTTGGAGAAGGAAGTGTCACACGCCCTGCCTTGGCGAGGCCGTGTGTGCAGCCGTTCCACAGCGAGGGAATGTGAAGTTGACCGTAAAGGCAAATATTGCAAACATTTTGACCTGTGTTTCCTTCTCCTGTTTCTCCAGACTGTCATCGGGCCTGTGGCCAGAGGGCTGGTAGACTATCCACTGGGAAAGCCAGAATGTCCCCAAACCCCCACAGGCTGCTATGCCACCCCTGCCACCCGCAGTGGACACCAGCTCCTCCCGCTGGTCTTCCTGATGAACTCCTTCAGGTACAGGAATTCCTGAGGAATTCAGGATCAGACCTGTCCTGGAGAGCAGCACTGTGCAATTGCTGCATCAGTGGGCAACCTGCTCTCAGCTGCTGGTCACTGTTTGTGCTCCCACCAGCAGAAACTTTTCATTTTTGGGTGTTGCTAGATTCTCAAGGCATACCCTGAGCCACATGAATTGCTGATGGAAATTGCAGTCCCCACAGCACCAGTGGTGACCTTAAAGGTGTGATCCAGCTCATGGCTGCAGCAGAGGTGATGGTGATCCACTCAGGTGATGTCCCTCTGCCGTCTGAATAACATATGTATGAAGGAACAACCCATGCAGAAATTCCTTCTGTAGTTTCCCCTCACCACAGGGCAGTTTCCCCACAGTTTCCCTAGGCTGCAGCCTGGTCAGAGGCTGGAGGAGCCACCCCAGCCCTGACCTCTTTTTTTGACCACAAGACACCTTGAGGAGGCAGGGGCTGCACATAGAGGGGACGGAGTTTGGGGCTGAGCCCTGGGGAGAAGTTCAGCAGTGACCTCCCCTCCTGTGGTGCTGTGCTGGGCTGGTTTGTGTCCCACAGGTGTGCTGGGAGAGAGGGCTCTCCTCCCCAGGCTGCTGAAAATTGACTTCACTTGCCTGAGGATCCCGAGTGCCTCTCTGTACCCAACATGGCACAACAGCAGCAGGGTGTAATCCCTGCCTGCACTCTTGAGCAGAAGGAAGACGTGTGTTTTCCATGGAACATTGTGTTTTGAACTCTTTTGTGGGTGCTCGGAAGGGTGTGGGTGTACTTTGCATTCTTGTGCTCAGGTTCAATAAAGTCCAGCCCTCTCTGCAGCCACAGCAGGTGCTCAAGCCTGCGGGGGTGGCCAGCTCTGGTGAAACCCCTGTGCTCAGGACAGATCTCAGCTGGGAGGGCTGCAGCCCCCTTTGCCCACCCCCAGCTCAGGGGGTGCAGAGCTCTGCCAGCAAATGCTGTGCCAGACCCAAACATGTCAGACCAGGGCCCGGGCCCAAAGCTGTGGGGGGATCTGGATCATGTTGGGCGCCCATCACACTCTGACCTGTCCTGGTCTTTACTGGGGCTTTGTCCTGGGAGCACCTAGGGGTCAGGTGGGAAATCACCCAGCAATGCCTATGAACTCATGCATGAACCACATGAAACCTCTGCAAATTTAAGGCTTTAAAGCCACCCGTTGCTGCTGGGGTGAGCAGGAGGAGCTGGGACAGCTGCAGCATCACTGCTTGTGAGACTGTCCTGCCCTGGTCCAGCCAGATCCACCCTGAAACACACCAGGAACACCAGAATCAGGTTTTCCTGTCATCTTTGATGCTCCTTTTCCTTTCCCCTCTATTTATTTCCCTGTTTTCTTTTATCTGGTGTCTCTCAAGCCTCCTTTAAACTGTGGAGATCTTTCTTGGACACACAGCAGCTCCTGCTTGCCCCTGGGGCACAGGCAGTTTTCTCAGAGCAGACGGTGTGCCACAAACCCACACTCTCATTTGTTTTGCAATTTGTGAGGTTTCTGTATGTAATTAGCTCGTTGGGAGGTAATTGCTTACCTCTCACTGTCCTTGGACTCATTCTGCTCTGCATAATGGTGCAGAGCTGTCCTGAACCAGCGCTGGGACATTCCCCAGGGTGGGTGGGCACCACCCAGGGTGAGGGGTGAGCTGCTGGGCTGGCTGGACGCTGCTGGCCACAGCAACGTGTGGTGTTCAGTGTCAGGCTGGTGCAGGGGTCACACTTCACAGCCAGCAAAAGGGAACTGTCCCTGCTCCATCCTTTCCTTGGCTTTCCTCATTCCTGCAGCTCGGGTATATAAAAGCAGCTGCCAGTAGCCGTGACCATGGGCTGCTCCACCTCGACATCAAAGGGTCCAGGTAAGTGGCACTGAAGGACCGTGGCCACCGTGCCAGCTCCATCAGGCGACCTACAGCACAGAATAACTCAGCTTGAAAAGCAGGAATTTTAATGATGCTTTCCTTTGATTTCTGTAGCAGCATTTAATCATTTATGAAAATTAATTTTTAAAGCTAGCAGAGCTCTTGCTTGTTAAATTCCGCATTTATTCCTGTTGTTGTTAAGTTTGTGATAATGACTAAGCTGGCAGAAAGGACTGGGAGTTTTTTCATGATCTTGGTGACCAGAATTCAGAGCAATTTTCAGCTCTCCAGACCTCATCTCAGCTGGTGTAAAATAAGTGTTTATCTGCAAAGCCAGACGTGCCTTTTGCATGTGCAAGATGCTTGGCTCACTGAAATGTGCGTGACCGAGGCACAGCACCTTGGTAGATATTGTTAATAACTGCAGAGATAGGTGCCTGCATGGTCACGTATTCTCTAAGAGCTCTTCTAAGAGCCCTGACATCCATTCTGGTACCCTTTTGCAATGCTGCACACGTCTTTCAGAGCCCCTCCAACAAATCCCACTGATTTTATTTGACACGATTTTCAATAGAAGCTGCTCGAGCCTCTCTCCTTCTCCCCTGTTCAATAATCACAGCTACAGGAGCTGTGCATCATTACGTGCTGATCAAAGGGAAAATGTAAAAGACAGTCGAGTGAATTAAAGTCTAATTTAATTGTGCCGAGAACTGTCATAGAGGGATTTTTTTTTAAGTATCTGGAAGAAATAGAGAAGTTGTTCAGTCTGACCTAAATAATGTTATTTCTCTGTGCTGAACCTCTGCAATCTGCACCTGTACATTGTTTTTCTCGGAAGGGACAAGCTGAGGTGTCTGTTTAGGACACGGGCTGCCCAGGAAAATGTTCCTAGAGCTGAGACCCCTGGCAGTGCTGCAGAGAGACCATTTTCTCATTTCTTTGCAAACACCTTTCCATGCATAAACAAACACTCCCCAGCCTGCACTGTCACCCTGAGAAGCCCAGCTTGGGCAGGAACAGAAGGTCCTTGAAGGTACTTTCTTTTGGCTGAGGGTAGATCAAACGCAGGGAAAACAGACTCTTTTCACAGCTTGAGTGGAACAAGATGAGAAAAACAAACAACCTGCCCACGGGAAAGTGAGTCTGATTCTGGCCATGCTTTGAGCTTTAATAACACAGGGTGCTCTTCCCAGCAGGCAGAAGGACACGACTGTGACACCCGTCATTTTTTATTCAGCTGTGCCCCTGTGAGTGTTCTTCTTTCAGGGCCATTTCAGAGTGGTTGGGAACCATCCGTCTCTCTCAGTACAAGGTCCTCCTGCCTCATCTCCATCCCTCTTCCTCTCTTAAAATGGCATTTTCACTTCCCTGCAGGGTCAGGCACCCAGCTCTGCATGGGGGGAGCACAGTCAGGCGTGGAGCAGTGTGGCACTGGGCTTCAGCTGCTCCCTGATAACCAGAAGTGGGAAAAGGGGGCCGCAGGTCTGGCTGACCTCCTGGGATGAGGGCATGGTGTCTGGAGTCTGTCTGTCCAGGAGGAATCTCCCCACCACCCCAGGGTAGTGCACATGAAGGATGGAGAGCTGCACCAGTGCCCAGGCTGTCAGTACCCATGTGAAACTGGTGCTTGGGATGATGTGGTCTTCCCACAGGTGCTGTGCCAGGACATGCCACCCTTCTGGTGTCTCATCTTTCTTGGGGGCCTCCTTCCCCCCTCCCAGGGCCTCCTCAACCTGCTGAATGCAGCACAGCCCATCGGTGGTGAGTTCAGGTATTTTCTGTGTTTCCAGGGGAGAGTCACGGCACAGTCCTGTGCCATTTTGGGCTCATGGTATGTCCTTTTGCTCATCAGGGAGCTGCCTCCTGGCAGGCCTATCTCCATGAGGAACCCAGCTTTGTCCAAGGATGCTCAGGGCTCCCTTTGAGAGCTCACCAGCAGAGCACCCTAATGTGGCCAAACCAACCTTCCCTGTCAATGAAATCCCCCCAGGAGTGGAAGTCCAATCAGTAACTGGGACTCTCTTGCTGCAGGCCTGCTTAGCACTGGTCTCAGCAGTGGAAAAAGTGGGTTGCCTGGCACAGGAGCTCTTGGTGAAGGTGGGCTGCTTGGCACTGGCCTCCTGGGCAAAGGAAGTCCAAGTGGAGCAGAAAGTGGAGGTCCCCTTAGTGCAGGAAATGAGCACAGCGGAGCTGGGGTCCTTGGCACAGGCCTCCTAGGTGAGGAAGCTTGGCACAGGGAGGGTTTGGGAGAGGAGGTAAAGGTGGTAAAGGACAGGAGAGTAACAAAGTTCTGACTGTTGCAGGAGGACAACCTGGCAGCAATGGGCTGCTTGGCACAGGCATCCTTAGTGGGAAAGGCCTTGGTGCAGGCCTCCTTGGTGAAGGACTTGGCCCAAACCTCCTTGGTGAAGGACTTGGCACAGGAATCCTTGGTGAAGGACTTGGCACAGGCCTCCTTGGTGGAGAAGGACTTGGCACAGGAATCCTTGGTGGAGAAGGAGCTGGCACAGGAATCCTTGGTGGGAAAGGCCTTGCAACAGGCCTCCTTGGTGGGGAAGGACTTGCTAATGGTCTCCTTAGCAATGGCCTCCTTGGCAATAACAGCCTTCTTGGAGGGACAGGTCCGCTTGGCACAGGGCTGCTTGGAAAAGGAGGTCTCCTAGGCAATGGAAGTCTGCTTGGACTTGATGGTCTTCTGGGGGAAGCAGGAGGACTGCTGGGTGCAGCAGGAGGACTGTTGGATGGTGGAGCCTCCCAGAAGATGACACGCTTTGCCTGGTGAGTCAGAAGCCCCATGGTGGGGCTCACTGCAGGGTGGCCCATAATATCCAGGGGATCACAACCTCCCTCTCATACAAACCATCAGTCCCAGGCTTGCAGCTCACATGAGAATCTGCAGCAGGGGAAATTCCAACCAGAAATGGGAAAAATCTTACCAGTGGGAGTGGTGTGACACTGCCATGGGCAACACTGCATTGTTGGGGAATCTCCACCCACAGAGATGGCTGAAACGTAGGAGGACACAGTCTTGAGAAACCTGACCATGCTGTTTGTGGAGCGGGAATTGGTCCTTCCCCACCTTCACTTTTACCTGGGAATATCCACAGGTCAAACGATGAGCAGGAAGAGATGGGTCTGTAGGATCTGCTCCTGCTGATCCTGCCATCTCAAGGTGGGTTTGCCTTGGTGTCAACCCCCAGGCTGAAGGTGCTGAACCTCGAGAGTGCCCGAGTGTCATGGAAGGTCCTTCGTGGGTCTGAGCTTGTGCTGAACCTGTACTCAAAGCTGGTGCTCCACTTTCCAGGGTGAGTGAGGCTAAAGAGTGAGGCCATGGGGACCTGAGGGTGCTGGGGAGGATGGGACACTCCTGAGTGATGGACAAACATCCCCAAACACCGAGCAAGAGACTGGAGAGGAAAGCTGTGCTGTTGACTCCCTCTAGAACCATTTCCAGCTGTCCTCACTCCACAGACACTCAGCATCCATGGAAGCATTGAGAAAACATGTGAATATGGCTCTTGAGGACATGGTTTAGTGAACATGGTGGTGGTGCTGGGTTGATAATTTAGCTTCTTGATCTTAGAGGGAAATTCTAATCTGAACAATTCTGTATTCTGTGATCTGCTACAGGACAAGGAGCCTGAGAGAAGTCCCAGGACTGAGGCATTGTTCCAGCTAAGGCTGTGCTTGCAGCTTCACCGGTCTCTGGTGCTGCTTTGGCTTCCTCCATAACCTTCCATGCCACTTCCTATTTTCTAGGATTTTTCAGTTTCTGAGTGGATCCTCAGTAGAAGCAAACATCACATCACACATTGCCCTGACCCAGGACTCTCCCAGAGACCTTAAGCTGGTGCTTAAGGACTGCAGCAACCTCCTTGGCGGCTTCAGCGTCAACCTGCGGAAAGGGTGAGTGTGGGGTCAGCTCCTGCAAGCTGGCAGAACTTCAGTCTCAAATCTAGGTACAGATTGGCAGCATAACAAGCAGATTTTGGGATTCAGATAACAAATTCCTGAGCATCTGTAATTCCTGTTGAAGCCTGGGGGAGCTCTGGGCTTGCAGCATCTCTTACCAGAGAAGAGGAGGGGGTTCCTCTACAGAGGAGTTCAGTTTTTTCTTGATATCAAGTCCTGGGTTTTGACAACATCCCTGGTAATTTTTGTCTGTCTTTTCCCTCCCCAGCCTCTTTACCAATCTGGTGAGCAGCTTGGTGAACAAATCTCTTAAGACCCTTGTCCCTGCGCTGGTGAGTGTCTGAATATTCTTTGCTGTGAAGCTGCATTTAAGCTGCACTCAGTTCTCCTGCCAGAACTGCCTGGTAGATTTACAAACACACACAGAATCAAAGAATAGTTTGGATTGGAAAGGACCTCAAAGATTAGTTAGCTCCAATTCCCCTGCCCTTGGCAGGAACAATATCTATTATATATATAAATATGAATACATAAATAAATAAATAAATAAATATACATACATACATACATACACAATATATATTTGTGCATGCAGAGATACATGCCTGCAGCCCATAAGTGAGTTACACAAAATCACTTGATCTTCCTTCAGTCAGAATTTATTTGTTAGGAGTAATTTCAATTTCATCATATGATGTTATGGGATAATTTATACTCAGCTGATCCCTGTGGGGGTGACCAGAAGCAACAGCCCCGTTTAGAGCAAAGTGGCCTTTTAAAGGATCTTTTACCTTGTTCAGTAGAACCTGTGCCATTTTGAGAAGGGGGCTGAACAAATCATGTAGCTCTTTTTCCACGGAAGAACTGTGCTCTAGGATGAAATCAGGATGTTTCTGATTTAAATCTGTGAAAATCAAGTGGTGCTGGGGAACGAGCTGCTGCACCCACAGTGCTCTCACCAAGACTGTGTCACTTGTTGCCATTGCAGTTCTGCCCATTAGTGAACATGTGGGTCAGCATCATCAACATTAATCTGCAATTCCTCAACCGTAAGTCCTTACCTTTTCTTTCCTATATTAAATTCTAGAATGACACTGGGGGTTTGTGTGTCTCCCACCTCCACGGGCAGCAAGTGTCCTCAGGACACTGGAGCTGTGCAAGCAGGGGTCTCTGCATGGAGCAGGAGCAGCTTTTCTCTGCTGGCAAAGCTGCTGTGGGTGGCACAGTCCTGGCTCACCACCACTGCCAGATACCACAGGGGGTGTCTTATGGGTGTTTTTCTAACCAGGGCTAGACCCAAGCTGCTGGCTATGCCAGGACCGCCAGGTGCAGCCCCACAGAGCCAGAGGGTTTCCCCTCCCCAGCTCTGCTCATGTCAAACCTCACAGACAATTGCTGCTTCACTGAAAGCAGAGCTGTTCCTCCCAACATTTCCCTTGTGACAGGATCTGCGAGCTCCAGGGTAGCAACTTTCATGGGAACCCTTGAACCCCAGGGAATTTGAGATCTATAAGGAAGGACATGGCGTTTTTCCTCCTTGCTGGGCAGGACAGTGCTGTGCCAGCCTCTGCCAGATGCTCTGGGTGGGCACAGGGCTCCAGCAGGCTCAGTGCCCCCCGGACAGCTCTACCCAGCCTGGATGGCCTCTCCCTCTCCCCAGGTGTCGTCTCCTTTGGGCTTCTGGGGAAAATCTACTCTGCCCTCTCCAAACTGCCAGTGACAGCTGGGCAGTATGTGGAGCTGGATCTGCAGGTAGAGCCATGTCCCACCCCATTTTCCATTCCATGTCCCCACATTCACATGCTCTAACGCCTCCTTGTTCTTTGCAGAATTCCCCTTTCCCAAGCACCTTCATCGACTGGCTCCTTCAGAGTAAGTCCAGCCCCAGTGCTGCCACGGGGATCCCCACTGGTGTCTGTGAGCCAGAAGGGAGCAGCTGAAATGGGGGACACAGCCCTGGGTAGTGGCCAAGAGTGGGGAGGGTTCTATCATGGCAGTGCTGTGGTTGGGGTTCCTGGTCCTCAGAGATGGTCCCCAGCTCAGATATGAGCAGCTTTGCCCCTGTGCAGTGGCAGGTCTGGAATACAGTAGCAAGAGAAAGTCTGTGCATTCCTACTTGTGCCCTGCACAGCTCTGGAAAAGTCACTTCACCTCTTATAAAAGGATTTAATAATATTTGCTTAATAAGAGTGAATAATGGTCCTCAGGATGCTGCGAGGATTAATTAATATTTGCAGAAGTGATTGGAAGAGCTTTCAGCTTCATATGCATGGAAAGTTAATATATAGGGAAGGGAAGGAAGAGTTGGAAGTCTTCCCAGCTTCCCCAGAGCCGTATTCCTGAGGGCACTAAATCATCTCTGCCCATAAAGCTGGGGCCTCTCGGGCCACTGGTACATCAGGCACTGCTGAGCCTGATGCCGTGGTGGGGGCACCAGGGGACTGCCAGGCTTTGGGCACCTGGAGAAGGGAGTGCACTGACCTGGGTGTCTCTCCCCCAGCTGCAGGTGTCAATCCCAGGATAAATCCGTAGCTGCAGGACTGGCAGCACCCCGGGGTAAGGAGGATTTGCTGGTTGGGACCTGGCTCAGAGCTCTGCTGCCAACTGTGCCGGTGCCAGAACCTGGGCTGGGTGAGAAGAGTCCTGACCCTGCTACCTGGTAGTGCAGGTGACAGGGGTAGCACAGGGCTGCCTAAAATCTCAACTCTGGTATTCCCCCAGGTCCCCCTGCAGGCGATTCCCAAGGAGGAGGAGGGAAGGGATGAAAACGACTCAATAGGTGGAGAATAGACATGAAAATGGAGAAACCCAACGAAGTAAAAGACTCTTTCTTCTGCTCCACATTTCAGCCTTCTCAGATTTTAGTGTCTCTGTCCAGCCTAGAGTTATCTGTGCCAATGATAATCTGTGCCAGCAGTGAGCTATGTCGATAATTAGCCATATTGATAATTAGCTATGTCAATGATTAGCCATGCTGATGACACTGTGACTGTGGAGGCAGGAGCCCAGGTCTTGCCTGTGTCCCTCCTGGCTGTCATGGCCAAAAACTGCTTGTTATGGCACTCACTGATGCAAGGATGACTTTGAACCCCTGGTTTTCCCTCACACCCATCCCAGCTTCACTTGGGCTGGGGTTTAGGCCAGGTAATGGCTCAGCACAGAGGGGACATTCCAGGTGCTGGATGCAGACAGTCAGGCAGGGGTTTGGTCCCCTCAGGAATTTCATGAGACTGCACCAACCCAAATCCTTCTGAGAAGGGAAGAGAGGAAAGGAAAAGGGACGAATTCAATGAGCTGTAAACACTTTGCTCTCCTTCTGCTTCTTGATTGGCTTACCATTTCAAAAGGGATTTTTGCTGTTTCCAGTGATTTCATACTGTTAAAAAGAGGCAAAAAAGCCCCCAGCCTAATCCAGGCGCACACGCAGCCTATTTGTTCCCAAACAGCGACGCTTTGAACTGATCAGAGTGAATGCTATCCTGCCTTGTAATCTCCAAGTGGATTTGGACGTGCTGCATTGTGGGTGAGGTGGATTTGAGGAAGATTCACACCCTTCTGTTACTCCTTACAATAAAAATGATTTTTCTTCATCTGCATTCAGCATGTGACTTAGTTCCTTTCCAAACTGCCAAAGGATTTTTGCATTTGCAAGGATTTTGTTATTTATCTCTCCCATCAGCTACAGGAGTAACTCACATGTGAGGAATATTGAATAGGTGAGTCTGCTGGAAAGGAGGGGAGCCACAGGGGCTGCAGCCTCAGAGCCAGGCCTGAATGGAGCCCAAACCCTGCCCAGGCTGCCAGACCCCCACTCTCACAGCTTAAAGTAGCTACAGAAACATGGTCAGTGTGGCAAATAAATATTCCCCTCATTTGTATTTATGCAGATTTATTCTGCCCCTGTCCCTGAGCTGCTGGTTCTTTTAGTGTGTATTCCTGCTCCTGCCTGTTGCCAGTGAGCTGGGAGCTGTTTGACATGAACATACACATCCCTGGGGTCCCAGGAAGACAGCTGCCCCCCAGGCTGGGGCTGGCACCCCCAGGAGCCCGGGGAGAGCAGTGGCAGTAGCTCTTGGGCACAGGAGCTCGCTCCTGGCTACACTGGCATCAAGCCTCATCCTGGGGCTGGCTGTGCCACAGCCCTGGAGCAGAACAGCTGCCTGGTGAGAGGGGCCAGGGACAGAGCCCAAGCCCTGCAGCCTCCAGATCCAGCAGCACAGCACCGTGTGCCACTGACCATTTCCAAGTGTCCCCATTGGCTCTGCTGGGCATTCCTGGTGGGCAGCACCCATACCCTTCTCTGCCTCTGCCCAGAGTGGGTCCCTCTGTTCCTGCCCAGGGCCTCAGAGCCCCATCCAACAGGCACAGGGGAGTCCTGGTGCTGTTAGCTGAGAGTTTGCAGCCAGCATCCTCCTGGTAGCACGCTGCCAGGGCTCCTGCTCACATCTTCTGAGTGACTAAATGTTCCCCTGAAAACCTTGGAGGTACTCGCTGCTCCTTTCCCAAGGTAATGGTGTGGCTGAGGTGTCACCAGTGCCATAGGACCACAGCCCAGCCCCTCCTGCTGCTCCTTCACTCCCTTTACCTCACCACTGTGAGTGAGCCCGACCCCGAGCAGCCAATGCCACCCCTGCCCTGCCAATTAAAGGCAGAGGTAACAACGCTAATGAGATGTGGGCACTGGGCACATCTGGCCTGCACCCAGAGCACCTCACTCTGGCTGCAGTAACACACACACCTGGGGGCTCTGGGAATGGACCTTGGTGTGTGCTCAGAGCACAGAGATGAAGGGCAGATGCCAGGTGCCCTTTGATGACAGTGGCAGAGCTCTGCCAGACGAGGACAGGATGGGTGGCAGTGCCTGGCCCAAGCTATTGAATCATAGCACCTCATTGGGCACCTTCAGTTTCCAGTTCCAGTAAGGAAACAGAAGGAGGAGGATGAAGGAACTCGCCAAGCCCCATTCTGTGAATGATTGCAAAAAGAGGTGTAAATATTTCCTCAGTAACCCAAAATGCCAAGCCCCAAACCTCTCCAAGTGGCACAGTGCCATCAGGCTGGGTCCCACCTCTGCTGCCAGAGGCAGGGGTAGGGAGCCACTGGCCACTGGGAGCCCTGTGGGGACAGCAGCAGCACCTGCACTGCTCTGACCCACAAATATTAATAACAATGGTGCCATGGGGGATGTTCCCTGTTGCTGGCACCACCCAGCCCCAGTGTGCCAGGACAGGTGACTCTGGAACAGCTCAGATCTTTGCCAGCTCTGGCTGCAAGGGCACTGATGGGGTTTTTCCTGAGGTTCCTCTCACCCTATTGAGTTCCCCTGTGGAGGCTGGTCTGAGCCTCTCCAGGTTTCTGCACTCAATGACACCTGTCTGCTGTGCAGAGCATCCCAGGGATACTGTCAGCATTGCCACTGCTCCTGCCAGGCTCTGCTGTACTGCCTGCTGAGCATGGGATAGGGAAACCATTTCTACCAACTGTATAAGGGCTTTTCAAAATGGAGTTTGGATAAAAATAAGAAACTGTGGGAAGAATCTTCCTTTTAATGAAATGCCAGAATATTTCCCATTTTTAAAGGGAAGCTGGTCTTGGAATTGCCTCCTGTTTGGTTCTGATAGCTTCCACCAAAGCCTTCTACTATTTTTTTTTAAACTTCTTGTAGTTAAATTAGAGAAGTATGAAAAAAAAAAAAAAGAAAAAAAAAAATAAAAAAAAAAGAAGGAACAGATTAAAAGACACTAAATAACCAAAAGAGAAGAGAGCACCTTGTTTAGTCTCAAAATCAGCCTTACCAAAAGTGAATCCCATTTCTGTTCCACTCACTGTCCTCATGGATGCAGGAAGGGGAGGAGGACAATCCTTTCTGGCTGTTCATTTTCACAGCAGTGTGCTGAATATTGATCACTCTCAAACCCTCTGCTGGAGGCGCTGCTGCAAATTGCCCATCCTGCAGCCACCCTAATTCCTACATGGGAACCACAGCCGGGGCAGGCGAGGGATCCCGCAATGACCTTGCTCTCTAAGTGGCAAACACATACCTGGCAGTGTCCCTGAACACCCTGACAGCTCCATTAGACATGACACTGTGCATCAGGCTGTTGTCATCCCTGTGTTTGCTCTCCAGAAATTGGACACCTTTCTCCTCCTCCTTAATGCAAGAAGTAAATGTGGGACAGCGAGGTTGAGATTTGGGTATTTTCAACACTGATGGACTTTGCTTTTGACACCCTTGGAGATATAATGAGAAAGCCCTGCCTTGTCCTTGTGCTGATAGCCCTGCCTGTCCTCAGGCTGGCCACCCTGCTTGTCCCTGTGCTGGCCACCCTCCCTGTCCCCAGGCGGGCAGTACTTCCAGCTCCACGTTCCTGGTGGCAGTAGTGGCAGCTTCCCCAGACTGGCTGCTGGGGCAGGTAGCTCAGACCCAGCAGGAACAGGGACCTGGGCAGTGGCCCCCTTGAAATAATGTGAAATAATTCCCTTTCACACTTCCTAGTGGAAGTTCTGCTGAAGGGAAAGAGCCCCTGCCAGGCACACAAAGCACAGAAAGCAGTCCTCTGTTTTTCAGATACAGCTGTCCAAAGGAATTGCAGCACCTTCGCCTCGGGGAGGCATTTTAATTACTCTATTGACTCGTGCTCCTGAGAGCCTCAGGCGTGTCAGAGCTCAGGCTGGGATCAGAGGGATGCAGAGAGACAGGGAGGGAATGCATGACCATCCCTGCCAGCCCCATGCAGCCCCACTGCTGCCCCATCACAGTCCCAGTGCCCTGCCCTGCCCACCAAGTGGTGCTGGGCCATTCCATGCTGTCTCTGACCAGCATCAGACTATCCTCATGTCTCTGATCTGTGTCTGACTGTTAAATAACTCAGCAGCAGGGAAAAAAAAGACTTGAAAAAATATCTGGAAGATATAGAGCCATTAATGAAAAACATCAGAAAATAGATATCAAGTAATGACACCACGATGAGAGCTTATTAATAGGAAAGGCTAAAGATAAAACTAATTTAAACCTGATGAGACAAGACATCTCATCTTCAGGAGAATGAGAAGTCAATAGTTGTCTGTCAGTAAAGGAAATAAATTGCTCACAAGGGAGGAGGGAAAGCCGCAGGACTGCTGGGCCCCAGAGAGCAGCAGTGCCTGTGACAGACTGTGAGCTACCCTCTGAATTCACAAACCCCACAGCTCGGAGCTGCCACTCACCACCGCTGCCTCTGTCATTGCCATGCAGGTCACAGCCCAGCTGCGCTCCGGGACGTGCATGGACATGGAGGGAGGCTGGGAGCAGACAATGCCAACCTGGGAGGGCTGCAGAGGAGCTTGGGGCTGGTCTGGGGGTGCACCAAGCAATGGCAGTGGAGAGCTCGTTGCATTTCCAGCACAGCACAGAGTTCACCATCGGCTGCAGAGGAGCCTGCAGGAGCAGCTGTACCTGCCCTGCCAGACCCCAACCACTGCCAGTTTCAGAAAGGAGTGAACTAAAGATAGAACTGGTTTTAGAAATGGAAAACAGTTTTGAAAGTTCTTTATGTTGCATTAAATCCCAAAGCTCTGTGCAAAGATCTGGCTTCAGATATGGTGATGAAAAGCTGCTGAAGGAAAACTCCCTGGACCCCCAGCCCACAGCAGTCCCAGAGCAGGGAGGAGGCCTGGTGGAATGGGCTGGCAGGCACATGGAGCCTGTCTGCTGAAGTGAAAAGCCATGAGAAAAGAGGAGGAAAGCATTTCCCCTGGCACATCCTGCCAGGCTGCTTGCATCACTCAGAGGCAATGCCTTGTCACCTGCCACCCCCTCAGCAGAGCAAGGCTCCAGCTGACCTAAAGCAAACTGTGCTTACAGGCTTCCATCAGGGAAAACATCTATCCTTCCCTCCACCAGCACTATGACATGCAGCGGGAACACAGACTGCAGAGTTCAAGGGGTTCTGGGGGAGGACATTATATACCATGGCCAGCTCTGGCACTGGGAAAAGCCTGAGTGCTCTGCCCAAGCTGCTTCAAAAGCCTTGGAGAAAGGAGCAAATTTGGGCAGGCGAATGTAGGCAGTGATGGGAATCAATTTTGAGGTTGTCCTTAGGCCAATAAAAGACAGTGCTGAGCAGGGAACAGCAGCTGTGAGCACCTGTCTGTCCCTCCACTCCCTGAGCACAGCCAAGACCTGAGGACAAACAAGTTTGTTCTCTGATGGGGGCCTGGGGAACAAAAGGGCTCTTGTTCTCCCTGACAGCGACCTTTCTGCCAGGTGAAGCTATTTGTGTGTGCGGGTGATGTCCAGCCTCACCCACACACCCTGCCAGCAGAAAGGAAAGTGCAGGCTGTGATTTACGAAATTCCGGTGTCAGGAGACACCCTCAGGGCACGGCTGCTGCTGGAAAGTAAATGTCATCCCAGCACTTCAGGTCTGTACTGGGAAACCTGATCTGCCAAAAGCCTCCTTGGGTGTTTGCCCATGGGCGTAACTGGGGCACGACTGACACAATTTCGACCTCCAGAAGGCACAGGTGTACATCAGGGAGATGGGAGATCTGGGAAGGTTCAGGGCTCTCCTCCCTGCTCAGGGTGGGAACAGAAACGTGCAAGAACACGGGGCAGGAGTTCAGCTTTCTCAACAGCTGGATTTAGGCAGCAAACCTGACAAGTGACACAAAACCCGCATCCCACCTCCAGGCCCCAAGAAAAACAACACATTCCTTCTTCCACGTAGTGCCAAAGGACTGACTCAGCCTCCAAGGTCACCGTAAGCACATCTTAATGGATGCTTTGCTGCCTTAAAACCTCGGTCTTCATTCCCGGGCCTATAAAAACTAAGGAGGCAAAGCAAATGGTGAGTGCAATAGCTCCCCGGGGAGCCCCTGCAGTGAGCATTATCACCTCCTCATCAAAATGTAAAACCCAGCTCTCCTCCTCATTAGTCTCCCGCTCTTAAAATAATGATTGTAAAACGGCCACAGCTGGCCTCAAAGCAGGATTGAGGGGGGAGGGCACTCTGTGGTCTGCATTTCCCAGTTGTAATAGATGCTCCTGGGGAGGTCAAAATGAGCAGGGAAAAGTTCGTGTCAGCCCTTTCCAGGGTGTTTGCTTGTCCCAAAATGCCTGGGAATTATGACATAGAAGATTTGCTACAGGGCAGTTAAACTAGCCCAGTGGCTTGATGAGCCAACCATCTTGGCCTCAGTGCCCATCACCTCCGAGGGCTGCTGCTTATGTATGCTGCTGCTTCCTTTGGGATTTCATCCCAAACTGCTGCCTTTTCCTGAAAGCCCCCTGATCACAGGCTCATCCTCACCGAGCAGCAGAGGTTCAGGCCTTGGTTTGTGAACCTGGGCCAAAGACACTTTCCCATGTGGAGGTAGGAGAGCAGATCAATCCTGTGTGCCTGTCAGCTCCTCAGAGCCCACACGGATTGTGCTGACTGTGCAGGTTCACTTCCAGAAGGGACTCGGTCTGAGATAATAAGCAAAATGTATTTGTTTCTTGAAGCCTAATGAATATTCAGTGAACCATGCTGTTTTCAAAGAGAAACAATTATAGCCCAGAAAGAGCTGAGCAGGAGAGGTGGCTTTCGAGCAAAACCCTTTCATGTTTATTTTAAAATTCTGCAAATTCATGTCGTGACTGCCCTGCTACCAGCTGTTCCTTCAAAACTGGTCACTGGCTAGAGCCTTTTGCAAGGATTTATTTTAATGACATTATTATCTGTATGAAAAGGGGCGATCCTTTCTCACATCTCAGTTTACTCACAAGTGCAGGTCACAGGTCCTTGTTTGAATTTCACAGAGCAGGCTGGAATGTGACACTGCGCAGCCAGGGTCAGCTGCAGGCTGATGAAAACAAGGAACTGTCAGATGCACTTGAAGAACTTACTGGCCATTTAAATCAATACAACCTCTTCTCTTGGTAAGCAAAGGGAAGGACATCCATAGATGTTTGGATTAAAAAACTGCACCCCAGGTTTTAAGAGGTCAGAGATGACCCTCGACTAGCAGCCATCTCTTCCCATGCATTCCCCAGGCCTGGAAACAAGGAAATCTTCTCCAGACAAGATCCAATCCGCTCCAGTAACAGGGTAAGGCTGCATTCCTTCAGTCCCAGACAGAACAGATTCACTGGTGCACATTGAACACCATTTTTCATTCCACAGTCCAGTGCCACATTCCAACACACAAGTGTGGTGTAGGTTCTTGCATCCCCTTTCTAAGCATTTTGCCAATATTTTGAAAGAATTAATCAATCTTCTGTTATTTCAGTTCTTTCTATCCTTTGACAGTACTCCTGCCATTCTCCAGCAGCTACTGGGGCTGTGTGTTGTAGGTACTACCAGCTTTTGCAGCTCCTAAATTCAGCTGAGCCTGTAGGAAGGAACTGCTCTGCACATCCATCTCAGCCTGGGCTCTGCCAGAGGATGTGATCACAGTGAGAGGACAGATCTGCAGCACTGTGAGGGTGGGACAACCCTCAGGGCAAGTCAAAATACACAGTCTCAGAGTAATTGGATTTTGCAAGTTCACACACAGCTTCTACCCCCTTGAACCTGCACACATCTATGAGGGGTAACTTAGCATCAAAGCAGAAATATATGTGTATTTTATTATTTTATACATAAATTTTAATATACACATGTATCTCCCTGGTTCTACCATATCTCCACCTGACCACACTTCCTTGTTTCTTCATGGAGAATATGTGCTGCTTCCATCCAGGGCAGCAGGGATCTCTCAGTGAGAAGCAGCAGCACGGGACAGGGTGGTCCGGCAGAGCGGAACTCCCCGCAAGGTCTGCGAGCTGCCAGAGGTTACCTGAAAGAAACAGCACAGGTCTTCAGCCACAGAAAGGCTGGGGAGGATCCATTCTAATTTTAGGCTCTTCTGGCAGCAGCTGCCCTGGAGAACAGCACTGTGCAAGGAAATGAGCACTGCAGGTAGGTCACCTTCACCATCACATAGTCCCCGGGCTGGGCTCTGCCTGGAGCCCTGTGCTCGGCAGCGTCCTCCAGCTCGGTGTCGGGGAAGATCACCTTGATGTTGCCGTCATTCCTCCCACACAGCTCCGAGGCAGAGCGTTTGCTGGGCTGGAAAGAGGACAGGGAACATTACCGGCATGGCAATTGCTCTGATTCATTGCTGGGCTTTATTGCCTCAGGAATTAATTGAGCACTATTGATGGAATTAAACCCACATTAACCAAGCCCTGGAACAGAGCACTGTGGCCAGAGCTGCTGGGTGACACTCACACACCAAAGCACAAATTCTGTGCTTGGCCAGACATACATCCCTAAATGATCCCATTCCCTGTGCTCAGCTCAGTGCTCTGGGAAACTCAGGCTGTCTGCTTAAGTGTGAAGAAATGGTCTTGGGAGTCTTGGGATTACAAGGGGAAAGTGAGAAGGGACGGCAGAAGTGGTGACTGCTGTGCACAGCCTCAGAGCCAGCAAGAAAGGAGGAGGAGAATTCCATTCCAGGCCCACTCACCCCTTCCACCAGCACCAGCTGGGCCTGTCCCACCAGCTCTGCGTTGGCCCTTGCAGCCTCCTCCCGGAAGGTGGCAATGAGCTGCTCCAGCCGCCGCTTCTTCTCCTCCGCGGGGACATCGTCCTGCAGCCGGTGATGCGCCCGCGTCTTCTGCACACACAGAGCCAGTGCGGGCCCTCAGCAGCCAGCCTGAGCCCAGAGCCCTGCCTGACCCCAGCCAGCTCCACTGCTCTTCCAGCAACAGCTTCCCACATTCCAGCAGCACTTCAGTTTGTATCACAAAGGAACTATTCCAGTGCCAGCCACATCCTCGTGCTCTTCACATCTTTCTTCTCTACCCTTTAGGCAGAAGGTCTGATACAGGGCACTAAGTATCAGTGAAATAGTTTTGCAGCTCCTGTGTGGGATGTGCCTGTGCCTATCTGTCCATAGACAGGCAACAGATTCTACTACTTCTAATCTATGTACTAAATAGTGATCCAAATCCTTTTGCTTCCTTACGTTTCCCAACCTTCTGTTCTCTTCCCCAAAAGTATCATACATTCTGGAGAGCACTCTAATGGAGACTTACCAACTACCCACTCTTCTCATGGAAATACCTTCTCAAAAATTCACCACATCCCTCCAGTCTTGACTGACAGACCCTTATAGCTGGGTTCCAGCCCAGCTCCATCACCACATTCCTCATCAACAAATAATGCATTTGCAGCCTCTGCTGACACAGTTACTTCCCTGCAATGACTCTAGAGCATCTGCAGAACCAGGTCACTGAGCAGTTACCAACCCTGACACTCCTACAGAGAAGCTGGAAGCCTCCCAGGCACAACAACAGCCCTTGCAGAACCACATACCCTACAAGTGTTGCCTGGGACAAACAACATCTACCAGTATACCAAGGCTTTGGGTATGATTTTAATCAGCTTTTTAAAATAATGTGTTATTGTGAGAAACAGTACTGAGGAGTTTAGGGGACACACCCAGAGATAACAGCCTTTTCCACCAAGGCCTGCACTCACCTGTCTCATGCTGTAGGCAAACAGGAAGCCGATGTTGTAGCGGACTTCCCGCAGCAAGGACACCGTCTGCAGGTGATCCTCCTCTGTCTCTCCACAGAACCCAGCAATGAAATCACTGCTCAAGCTCACTCCTGTAACACACACACAGCTGCACACTTCCCTCATGGAAGACAGGAATGCTGCACTCAGGACAGTGAGATGCAGCTGTGCCGAGTTCAGACCAAGTCAAAGGAACACACACCTGGAATAGAGTCACGCACATGGTGCACAAGTTCTAAATATGCTTCTCTTGTGTATCTGCAATGAACAGCACATGGATTTGCTAACTGGAAACCCACAACGTCAGTGAGGAGAAACCAGCAGCCCAAATCAGAAGGCGGGACACAGGGCTCCTTGTGGGGGGACTCACCCTCGCCGCATGGCCTCCAGGACTCGTGTGCTCCCACTCTGGGCTGGGAGGTGCAGGTGTTTGCAGATGTTGTGTCGCTCCTGGATGAGCTGCAGGACCTGTGGTAAGTGATCAGGAGATGTCTCAGACAGCTTAACTGTACCTGGGTGCCAAGAGAAGAGTCTTCCCTGGTTAAAAGCCAGCAAAATGCAAACCTGCCAGCTTTAGCCCCAATATCCATCTCCCAGGAGCTGCTATTCCCAGTTTGGAAACCCACATTCTCTTTGTTTGGGAAGGCAGCACAACCCCTACCTCACATTTCAGAGCTGCCTTGCTGCCTGCAAGCAGAGGCCAAGGTGTTTATTTTATACTTGCCTCATCGGGAAAATCCTTGGGGTGTGGAGAGGTGAAACGGATCCTCATTTCTGGATCAATCCTGGAGACCTGGTCCAGCAGGTGCGAGAAGCGCAAACCTCCCTGCCTGGCTTTGTAGACTGTCCTAAAGCCACGGCTGAGGCCCGGGGCAGCCACTGACTGAAACTGCACCTCAGACAGGTCTCGAAAGCTGTTGACATTCTGACCCAAAAGGGTCACTTCTTTCACTCCCTGCAAAATAAACAGAGAGGAAGAAATATAACCTGGGCAGGATAGCTGAACTGCAAGGGCAGCCGTGGTTTTACTCCAAGGAGTTTCCAACAGAAGCCCTCCCATGCCTGTCTGTCATGGAGTATTGCAAGGGGAATCCAAAAGCCACTGGTGGAACCCCACCACAACCTCATCTCTGCAGATAAAGGCAGTGACACTGGTTACAAGTACCACTGAAAACACTGTTACCAGGAACCACCCTTCTTCCCATGGCTTGGGACAGGTGGGAGGAGGCTCTGCCTCACCTGATCCGAGAGCATCCTCACTTCCTGCAGGATGGAGGCGATGGGGCGGCTCCTTTCCCGGCCTCGGGTGAAGGGCACGATGCAGTAACTGCACATGTTGTCACAGCCCCGCATGATGGACCTACCGAGAGGTAAAGCACAGAGAGAGTCACACCACCCCCCTCCAGAACCATCCATACTGCATCCTCTCAGGATGAGCCCAACACTGCTGCCTGCAGCCAGCTCCACACACAGACCATCCACACTGGATTCAGCTTGAACTGAGCTAACACCTCCAGCTGGAAAGAACTAATGAGGCACAAACTGCCACTGCAGCCTGGCAGTGATCAAAGACCCTTCTACATCCCAGTCCTGCAGAAAGTGATACTGTCCTTCCATACACTACAGCCACACTGAGCAGAGTCTGATTTCATGTCTTGAAAATGTTATCACCAAAACTGAACAATCAGAAGTTATAATGTGTGGAGCATTAGAAGAAGGAATAGCAGAACTGGGGGCAGGGCACCACAGAAGGCAGGGGATGAGAGAGGCATGGATTTCAGGAAGGCACAGAAATCACTCAATGCAGCATCAGGCTGAGAGTCAGCATTCCCAAAGGAGAGGAAATCCACAACAGCTGGAGCTTAGGGCATGTTCTCCAGGGCTCAGTCACACAGCAAAGCAACAGCAAACACACGCACACACATATGTATGTGTACACACACTGGGACAATCAGTGCAGCCAGGGATGGTAGCTGCTAGGCAGCTGCTGTCACTGACACGTCTACTCTGCACAGATTTCCAAACCAGAGCCACAGAAACAAGCACAGGGAAAAGGTACTCACACAAATGCTGTCGTGCCACCTGCACTAGTCTGGACAGGCAGAATGTCAGCATAGGTCTCATCTAGGGACAGCAGGACATTGGCAGCTTGCTGGCCAGACTCTGCCACTGCCAGCAGCCGGGGAAGGTCACGGTAGGCATCAGGGCCTGCCACGACATCGACCAGCTTCTCCCTGTGCAGAATCTCCTCCTTAAGCCTCTCCGCCATGCATCCTGCCAACAAAGGAGATCCTCCTGAGGCAGTGCCTGCCCCCCGTTGCTCCCCGCAGCCCTTCCCAGCTGCTTTCTCCCCAGGCAAAGGCGGCTGCTGCCCGTGGGACTCGGGGATGGCCCGGCCGTACCCAGGATCCCGACGCGGAGCACAGCGCGAGCCCGGGGCCGCCGCGCCTTCAGCGCCCGGAGGTGCCGCAGCCGGCTCCAGACGGCCTGCTCCGCCTTCTCCCTGCGGGCCAGGACAGCGGGCTGCTCCGGCTGCGGCTCCGCAGAGCCCAGCCCCAGCGGCCCTAAGCTTGTGAGGGCAATCAGCTAAAGGCAGGGGATCGAGCGGCACCGGGGAGTGCCCTTTGTGGGGTGGGGATTGTCCTGCCTCTGTCCCTGTTAGCCAGTGGAGAGCATCTCCACTGCAGAAATACTTTAGGGACTAAGCTCTTGGAGTGAAAAAGTGCCTTGGCCACACTACAGGGTACCCTGCATTTGGTGTCTTCTGCATTCAGAAAAAAACAAGGAAAGTTCCCTTTATATCAACTTGTCCCTAAATGTATTTCTCACATTTTTTAAGTACACTGTACTAGAGAGTTGCTTCAAGAGTAGACTATTTAAACAGAAAATCAGTAATTGTGCAGGTCTCTCACTGCCCATGGCATATATACAGAGATTACATTACCAAAGAATTTCTCCCTACCCAGAGAAGCAATTCATAGCACACTTAATGTTGCAAATCATAACACCAGCCAGCCCCAGCCTCAACTAAATATCCAGTTTCACACCTGCACACTCCTTTCCTCATGCAACAACTTTATTGCCTTGGTTTTCAAATGGCAATTCCTTAAAAACTGTCCCAAACCAGTTACAAACATCTCCTTACCTCACGGAACAGGTGACAAGAAGAACCACATCTGCCTAAATCAAAAGCAACAAAAAGAGAAGGATCTATAAAAACCAAACAATAAGTCCTCATGCCCTGCCCAGGTAACCTGAAGAGGTAGACTACAAAGCTCACTTAACTCAGGGAAAAAGACCCAAGTACACAGCAGGTTTCAACAAAAAGAGTTGCAAGAAAGAAACAGAAGACAAGCACAGTCTTCACTAAATGGTAAAAGTAAACCCAAAGATGACACAGGAGGATCCTGCTGTGTCTAATCCCTCTCCAACTGAGATGGAGCCCAGTAGTTTAAAGAAAAAAGACAACCCACAGCTTTCTAGCACACTTGTTAAGCAGTTCCCTTCACAGAACTCAGGCTGCAAAACTCCTAACATCCCACAGGGCTGCACTCCAGAGAAAAGCTGGGACTTGCATGCACAGGCAGGGCATGAGGGCTGTGCTCCAGGAGAGCTGCCAAGGAGCTGCCTTACCTCCTCCAGCTCCTTTGTCCTGGCATAGCCATTCTTCTGCAGGATGGCCCAGACGATCTCGGTGTCACTGACGTTCATCTGGCAGCCGTAGGTCTCCAGGTACACTGCAACAAAGGCCGTGTGATGCAGGAGCCTGCTCAGCTCCCATCCACAACCCCTCCCATGCCCCCCTCTGCAGGAACAAGCCCTCAACCCCACCGCTGGAGTCAGGGAAGCACCACAAAAACTGCCTGCACCTGTAGTCCACAAAGGATAAACTGAAGGGCAGGCTCTGGGAAACCTTCTGTTGCTGTGACCAGCAGCAGCTCTGTCCTTAGTGAAATACAACATTTAGGACAATGAACATCACCCCATCATGGCAACACAGCCCCGCAGGGGCTGCCACAGCCCCACGGACAGCGCATCACACGCTGTGGGCAGATGCCAGAGCAAACTGCTCTCTGCCCAGCTCTATGATGGAAGAACACACACGACGTCGCAGCCAAGGACTAAACTCCTTCTAGCGTCAAAACCCCTCAAAAGCTCCCAGACAACCCATTTTCCCCACTCTGCTCCGGCTGTGAAACACCTTACGGCCGCCCTTGACCCGGCAGAGAAAGCCAGAGCAGCGGGGTTCGGCTGACCCCAACAGCTCCAGCCCCGAAGACCCACAGACCTTTCGGGGCCCCGGGGGTAGAGCCCGGCTCAGGCGGCAGCTCTGGCGGCGGCCCCGGCTGCCCCGCGGCAGCTGCCCTCAGGAAGTGCCGCAGGTCGGGCCCCGCAGGCAGCGCGAAGCCGCGCCACACCGGCCGCTGTCCCGGCCCGCGGCGCGCCCAGAGGGCGGCCCCGGTACGGGGAACGGCCCCGGGCGGGCGGAGCAGCCCCGCCGCCCGCAGCGCACGGGCCCCGGGCAGCATGGCCGCGGCCGGGGGGCGCTTCGGGGACGGACCGGCCCCGCCGTGCGCCTCCAATGCGGCCCCGCCGCCGCCTCCGCCCCTCAGCGCCGCGTTCCGCCCCGCCGCCGCTCCGGGCCCGCCCCGCTGCTGGGCGCCGCCGCGGGAATCCCAAAACCACAGACTTAAATAGGTTGGGAAGCATCTCCGAGATCATCGTGTTCAGCCTGTGACCCAAAACCACCATTTCAACTAAACCAGGGTTGGGAAACATCTCCGAGATCATCGAGTTCAGCCTCCGACCCAAAACCACCATTTCAACTAAACCAGGGTTGGGAAACATCTCCGAGATCATCGAGTTCAGCCTCCGACCCAAAACCACCATTTCAACTAAACCAGGACACTGAGAGCCATGTCCAGTCTTCCCTTAAACACCTCCAGGGACGGTGACTCTGCCATGTCCCTGGACAGCCGATTCCAAGTTCTAAGGACCCTTTCCGTGAAGAAATTTTTCCTAAAATCCAACGTAAAAGTCCCCTGGTGCAGCTTAAGATCATGTCCTCTTATCATGTCCCTTGTTCCCTGGGAGCAGAGCCTGACCCCCAATGGCTGCACCCTCCTGTCAGGGCGCTGTGAGGGTGAGAAGGTCCCCCCTGAGCCTCCTTTCCTCCAGGCTGAGTCCCCTCAGCTCCCTCAGCCTCTCCTGGTGCTCCAGCTTCTTCCCTATCTCCAATCCCTTCTCTAGACATGCTCCAACACCTCCATGTCCATTTTGAAGTGAGGGACCCAGAACTGGAAAAAGGAATTGAAGTGTGGGCCTCACCCATGCCAGGGAGACAATCCCTTCCCTGGTCTGCCTGCTCCACTGGTTACAGGCCAGGTTGATACAGGTCAGGATGGCCCTGGCTTTGTTGGCCACCTGGTGCTCATGTCCAGCTGCTGTTGACCATCAGCCCCAGGGCCTTTTCCACTGTGCTCTTCCCAGCTACCCTGCCCCAAGTCTGGAGTGAAGGCACAGGACAGCAGGCACGGGTGCTCTGTGGTGCCTCGCCATGGCCATGGAAACTGCCCAGTGAAGTGGCCCTTATCCAGCTCCAGCTCCCACCTGCCCCAGTGCAGCCCCAGGCAGAGACAGTGACACTGACACGCAGGCCTGAGCACCAGTGCCTTTATTGCTGCTCATAGGAATGAGGGGATGGGGTAGCCCAGGGCAGGGGACCCCCAGCTAATGGCAGCACCAGGTGAGACCCCAGCAGGACCATGGAGGGTCCCGGCCAAGGCAGCAGTGCAGGACACTGGCAGGAGCAGTGATCTTTGGTGTGGAGTCAGGGGGAGAGAAGGGCAAAGTGGTGAATGAAACATATTTAGTGCTGAAGGGCTCTCATAGCCTTATCTTCATCCCCGGGGCTGGAAGCGAACGTCTGCTCCAAGCAGCAGGAAATTCTGGGAGAAAGAGAGAAAGTACTGAGCTGCTAGAGGCCCTGGCAGCTGAATGGCCCAGCATCCATCAAATCCTTGAAGGGAGACTGGACTGGGACATGTGCTCTGTTTTTCTGCTGTGCCATTGCCATCTCAGTGAAGAGCATGCTTCCATTAGTCACTTCCAAGCACAGCTGCAGGAACTGGACTGGGAGGTTGTGCTGGCAAGCAGGGCTCTGTGGGCAGCAGGATGGGCCCCACCTGGGGTCAGGAGCTGCCTCTCACTCACCTGGTGGAACCTCACAAGGATATTGGAGAGCTGAATCCTGTCCAGAA